GAATTGGTTGTCTGAACTGGAAGGGAATGGGGATGTTTTGCTCCAGTGTACGCAGCATTTCGTTTCTTGGCTGTAAATTTGCTCATTTGGTCGAACTTCGGACTGAATCTCGTCAGAAAATTTGCCGAGGAAATAACGATATAGTAGCTAGACTCTTGTGATGCTTCTTCTGTGGGAAAGGTGTTGTTTGGGTGAAAAATAATTCATTACCTACAAGGCCGTGTAGACGATGTTGAGCATCATCAAAGCTGGAAAGCTAGGACTGAGCAGCTCCAGCTTAAATGAGATAGCAACTGGTCTCGGGCTCCCATGAGGTAAGTGGAGGTGACTCTAGTACTCCCCAAGCTCTCCAAACTACTGCTCCGATCCTTCCCGCTTTCCGGCTTGTTGGAAGTCCTCCTCTGTAGTTCTTGCTTTTATGAACTCTGGAGAACCTTCCGACCCCTCTAAATATCACCATATTATTCACTTACCGCTTTTCGGTAAAGTATTCAAGGCTTTCATCAATGCTGACGTGTTTAAGCATCTTACCTCTCACGACCTTCTCTCTGACAAAAAATATGGCTTCCGTTTTGCCTGGTCTACTGATGACTTGTGCTTACGGCCTTCACTGAATATTTACATAAATCTCTTGATAATAACAGCGAAGCTCGAGCTGTGGCTCTAGATATCTCAAAGGCGTTTGACAGGGTTTGATCTGCCGGTCTTCTACGCAAGCTTCAGACCTACGCTACTACAGGACGATTGTTTGACTTCATCCAATCATTCCTATAAAATCGTGAAAAGAAAGTCGTTCTGAAGAGGCTAGCTTCGAGATCCTTTCATACGAATGCGGTGTCCCCTCCCCCAAGTCTCTATCGTAGGTTCTAGAGATTACTCGCGACTCTGAAGGGAGTCGAAAAATAAGAGACCTCGTGAAGTCCCAGTATCAGCAGGAAAACGTCTGAATATGGACAGAAATATATCCGGTCAATTTGGAGACGGAATCTGCCGAAGGAACCTTTTGGAGAAGTGCAGTCCACGGAAAAAAACAACATCCTTTGAAAACACTACGACAAATACGAGAAACGAATGGTGTCGAAATGTAAGAGACCTCGTGAAGTTCCAGTATCAGCACGAAAACCTCTTTAAATATATTCGGTCACTTGGGAGATGGATGCTGCAGAAAGAACCTATTGGAAAAGTGCCGTCCACAGAAAAAAAAAATCAACATCCTTTAAAAACACCAGAAGACAAATCCAAGAGACGAAAGGTGTCGAAATTTAAGAGACCTCAAGAAGTCCCAGTATCAGCACAAAAACCTCTTTATGTGGACAGAAATATATTCGGTCAATTGGGAGACGGAAGCTGTAGAAAGAACCTATTGGAAAAGTGCCGTCCACAGAAAAAAAAAAGCAACATCCTTCGAAAACAACAGAAGACAAATAGAAGAGACGCTAAGGGTCCAAAGAAAAGCCAGAGCTCTCCATCCCCTGAACTCTTCTACACTACCAAGCGGTGGCTGCGGACGTCTCTTCCGGTCCAACACAGGACTCATTTCACGCAGAAGGAAATGCTGAGCATCCCAATACTCAGCAACGAATTCAGTCAACGATTTTCTTTTCAAATCTTTATTTAAAAGCAAATCTTAAAGTTTATTTTTACTCGAATCGGAAATTACAATTTTCCTGTTGCTTTCAGACTAAGTAAGCCTCACCGATATTTAAGTATTTAATCTAGTAGCTGTGCTGATATGTCATTTTTCACGAGAATGTCTCTCCAAGAGGTAATTTAAATTCAAAGAAATAAATAAGTTTACATGATCTCTTTCTGCTTTTGAATAGCCGACGATATTGCAACCCTATAGAATTTCTCGAACATATCCCACGAGGGGACAGCCGTCCACCCCGACTTAATACGACGCCTGTCTCCTTATAAATTGCTTGGATAAAATTTCCTCTGTTGTTGAATGAACAAAAAAATCGAAAGGGAAAATCATTTGTAAGAAAGAAAAAGAAAGTTTGTTTGTCTTTTCTCCATTTCTTTTAGCTTGTAATCTGTGTCAAGATTTAAAATGTCATATATTTTCAAATGAAAATACATGCTTCTTGTATTTGCATGTTCATACCAGATGTTTGGTGTCTATCGCTGGCGATGGAGTGAAAACAAATTTCAAAGCTGCAGCACCTTCCCCAGTATCTTTTATTATTATTCTAATTTTCACCTTTTCCTGTTCACATCAGATGCTTAATGTTTATTGCTGATGGCTGAGTGACGGCAAATCTAAAATCTACAGCACCTTCCACAGTATCTCCGTTATTTTTATTGTTATTATTCGAATTTACATATATCCATGATTACATCAACAGTAAAAGGGTTATCGCTGGAGAAGTAATAAAAACAAATCTTATCATATTTCCAGTACATTTCTTAGCACACTTTAATATATATGTCATATATTTGGAATTTCATATAAGTTGTCCGGAGTGATGACAAGTCTTCTAAAATCTCCAGCACCTTCCTCAATATTCTTTATTCTTTTTAATACATTTGTGTTTAATCTACGGTCCAAGCTTTCTTCGAGAAACGCTGGTTAAAGGAGCCAAGTGTGCCAACAAGGTTCCAGGAGGTTGGAATTTCGAACTGAACCCTTCATTTCATAATTTTTTTTAGTTCCACGTGCCGTGCCTCTTCCAGATGTCTCATTATAAGTTGTCTCCCTTTAACTCAGCTCTTCTAGTTTTTGCCTACCTCTGCTGTAGCCAGGTATCGAACTCACAACTCATTGGGTCAGTTCCCTGGATTCAATCAATGCTTTCATCCACTGGGGATTGTGCCTTCAAGGAAGAGGCATCACACGTGGAACTAGAACAATCTACCCTGGTAGACGAAATACAGTTAGAAATTCCAGTCACCGGAAGAAGGCTGGAGTGTAAAACGGCCGAAACGTCTGGAATATGGCAATGAAGATGAGGACAACAGTCCGAACAATGTAAATAGTGTAAGTAATTACAATACCTCATCTCTGAAATATAGACAGATATTGAGAGTCTTCCAGGAATTGCTTTGTTTTGAATACGTACTGGAACTTAAGTCCACAACAGATGGAAGTCGTATTTACGATCCATCGCTAATGATACTGTGGAAATAATCGGTTCCTTATGCTGCTCCAAAAGTTACCAGACTCCTTCTGCTATGCTCTATCTTTATAAGAGCCAGTTAAAGCCGAAAATGGAGTATTGCTGTCAAATCTGGGCTGGCGCTGACCAGTCTTCCCTTTCCGATTTTATTCAGGCCCAATCTCAGAAATTGTTGTGGTACGATCCACCTAATTTACATAGTGGAGTACCGATCATATAAATATGGTTGGTACCGGGAAGACGGGGGATGAAGAAGAGATCCAATCCAGAGACTCTGCCTGACTGCGACCAAGTCAACCCATTCTACAGGAACGGTCTTCCCAAGAATATACCAAACTATCTGTAAATATTGTGTACACGTTCTTGTGTCAATACATTTTGTTTAAGTACATTTTGTGTTGTATTATTATTATTCCATGCTTTATTCAAGTTTCAACAGAAATATAGACAGATATTGAAATTTCAAGGAGGTACCTTGTTTTCAATAAATATTAGGACCCAAGTCCATCCCAGATGGAACTATGATCCATGGTTAGGATCGGTTCCTTATGTTGCTACAAATGGTGCCAGTCTCTTCCTATAAAGCTCTATCTTTACAAGAACCAATTAAAACCGAAGTTGGAGTACCTGCTGTCAGATCTGAACTGGAGATAACCAGTTTTTACTTTCCAATTTTATTAAGGTCTAATCTCAGAAATATTGACAGATAATGAAGGTTCAAGAGATTCCTTGTTTTCAATAGATATTGAGTCTCAAGTCTGCAACATATGAAACTCGGATCTACGATCTATCGCTAAGGATACTAGAGAAATGATCGGTTCTTGTGCCGCTCCAAAATGTAACAAACTTCTCCTATTATGTTGATATCTTTACAAGAGCAGAGTCTTGCCGAAAATGGAGTACTACTGTCACTGACCAGCCTTCCCTTTCCAATTTTATTCAGGCCCAATCTCAGAAATATAGACAGATATAGAAATTTCAAGGAGGTGCCTTGTTTTCAATAAATATCAGGAGTCGATCGGTTCTTTGTGCCACTTCAAAATTTACCAAACTCTTATTATGTTGATATCTTTACAAGATCCAGCTCAAATAAAGAAAAAACGGCTATTGCTGTCATATCCGGAGTTCCCATGCCTTTCTTTCCAGTCTTAACCTGTGGAACTAATGAATGAATCTGATTTGATCATTGAACTCTGTTGTTTACGCAGCCTTGTGGTTGATGAATTATTTCCCTCGAACAACCCCTTCGCTACAAACGGAACATGGCCAACCTTCCGCTTCTCTATCAAAATATCAATTGCAAATGATCCGACGAAGCTTCCTTCATTAGGTACTCCAGTTCAAACATTTAAAACTAGGGCATGTGATGCTACGTCCACAGGGTTGAATCATCCTCTTTCATTTTGTATTCCATTAGTAAGGAGGAAGCTCTACTCAATCATCTTCTTTCAAAGAACTGCTACGAGACGAGGATGTTTCCCTGATAACTACAAGTCTAAGGTCAAACGCTGTCTAACCTACATAACTAAAAAAAATATGAAATTGCATACGCACATCCAAAAAACTCACTCAGAAAAACTCTACATTGATTGGCTCTTAGACCTTTTAATGTGTGAACAAATAGTAAAAAATAATAATAAAAGTGACTTTTGATTTTTCAGTTCTCGAGAGCGTTTTCTAGTTAGCACTTTTGGGAAATGGTCCTATTGCTGAAAACACACAGTTCAAAGCCTTTACTTAAAAAAGAAAAACAACAACAAAAAAAAACTGCTCAATAAAAAGTAGACCAAAATATTATTATTATATTTTAATTATAATAGATTATAATAAAAAAACATTTTTATTAATGCTTCATTATATTTAATTTATTAAATGCTTTTATTAGATATAGATGAATAAGTTAAGATAGATATATAGATAGATAGATAGATATGAAAAAGTTAAAATAGATGTGAAGAGTTTAAGATAGATAGATAGATATGAACAGGTAATGACAGAAATACAGATAGATAGAGATGAATAGGTTAAGATAGAGAGATAGATAGATAGATAGATAGATAGATAGATAGATAGATAGATATGAAAAGGTAAAGATAGATGTGAAGAGGTTATGATAGAAACACAGATAGAGATGAATGGTTTAAGATAGATAGATAGATAGATAGATAGATAGATAGAAAGATATGACTGTTGCTAAATGTGGACGAAGGAAGTTGCTTAAAGAGAGAGATAGAGAGGGGTGGGTGGGATGAAATAAATGAGATCGTTTGATAAGTACTAAAAGGGGACGACTGGAAGATGAAACGAAAATGAGACGGAACTAAATCCACATGTACGTAAGTAAACAGAAAAATAAAACGTCGGGCATTAAATGTAAATAAAATAAAAAGTCGAAAGCTGTCGCTATGAGAACGAAACCCGATCAATCTTTTGGGAATCAAAATGGACGGTTATCCGACGAAGACCTGAGCTAATTTGCTACAATCAAAAATAAGGGTGCAAAATGGACGAAGTGAAAAATACCAGAAGAGGAAAAAGAGAGAAACAGTAAAAAGTAAGAATTCTTTTGGGGGCGCTTTGACAAAAGACAAACTAAAAGAAAAAAAATATATAAACCTGTTTGCGGCTCTGAAAAAGAAGAAGAAAGAGAAAAATCTTAATTTGCGGACAAAGAAGAAAAAGACGATGAAAAAGAAAGGTGTTTTTGAAGAAGAAAATGAAGACAAAAGTGGACGATAAGTTTATGGCATTGACATGTAGAGGAAAAGGGTCAGTGAAATGAAGATAAAGGCGCGTTAGTAAGAAGAAGAGGAGGAGGAAGAGGAGGAAAGGAAGGAAAAGAAAAAGAAGAAGAAAAGGAGAACAGGAGGAGGAGGAAGAGAATAATAATAATAATAAGAAGAAGAAGAAGAAGAAGAAGAAAAGGAATAGGTTTGGTTTGGTTTACGGCATATCAACCTCACTGGATCATTTAATGCCGACAACTATTTTTCTGGTAATATTTTTGTTTTGTCAAAAATCTATTTCTGTTAATATTTTTTTCCTCAAAAATGTATAGCTGGTATTATTTTTCAAAAACGTATAGCCGGCAACACTATTCTTTCAAAAACGTATAGGTGATAATATCATCTTTTTCAAAAACGTATAGCTGATAATATCATCTTTTTCAAAAACGTATAGCTGGTAATATATATTTTTTTCTTCAAAAATTTATTTCTGGTAATAATTTTTTTTACAAAATATTTCTGGTATTTAAACCTATTTTTACACTTTTGTAATGCTTTTTACCTCAGTTTCGGGGTTATCTATTTGCCCATAGCTGGGACCCTAACAGGTGCTACCACCCTGGGTCAGGGTTGACCCGGGAACACCAGCAATTAAGAGGTGGTTCCATGCTCCTCAAAGCTTCCTGATCAGAGGCCTTGCTGTTGGACGTAGTTTATCGTCATACCCAGGACGGAAAAGAAATAGGAGAATCAAGATTATGCTCACTAAATGAAAACATGAATAAGAGCAGGAATGACGACGACAAAGGAGACAAAAAAGAAGAAGGAGGAGAATAAAGACGATTCAAAAAGAAAGGCGTGTGGCTGAGAATGAAGAATTTAAAACGAACCCCACCCCGCCGAAAAAAGAAAAAAAGAAGAGAAAAATGAAAAAGAATAATAAAAGAAGAAAAAAAAAAGAAGAACTAGAAGAAGAAAAAAGAAAAAAAAGAAAGTGATTTGGGCTCTGAAGAAAAAAGGAAGTAGGAGTAGGGAATGAATGAGGATATGATAATGATGACAAAGACGAAGAAGAAAACGAAGTCGGAGGTGGAGGAGTAGGTGAGAATACAGAGTTTATAGTGATTATAAAAAAGAAAGGGATGATGGCTATCAGGATGCTGTTGAAAAATACAAAGAAAAACGAGGGAGAAGAGGAAAAGGCGGAGAAAGTTGGGGGGGCTGTTGAGTGTTAAGGAAAAAGAAGGAAAGGCGTACATGAATAGGAAAGATGTTGAGTATATGGCGTTGGTGAAGAAGAAGATGAAAAAGGAGAAGGAGAAGGAAGAAGGAGGAGGAGAATGCTAAGTTTTTGACAAAGAAAAAAAAGAAAAAGAAGAGGATTCTGAGGTTTTGAAGACAACGACGACGAAGAAGAAGAAGAAGAAGAAGAAGAAGAAGAAGAAGAAGAGGAGGAGGAGGAGGAGGAGGAAGTAGAAGTTGCTGAATTTTTGACACGGAAGAAGAAGAAGAAAAAAGGAGGAAGATGAGTGTGCTGAGGTTTTTAAGACAATGACGACGACGAGGACAACAACGAGGACAACGACGACGAAGAAGGAGTAGGAGGAGGAAGAAGGAAGAAGAGGAGGAGGAGGAAGTAGAAGTTGCTGAATTTTTGACACGGAAGAAGAAAAAAAAACGAGGAAGAGAAGGAAGATGAGTGTGCTGAGGTTTTTAAGACAATGACGACGACGAGGACAACAACGAGGACAACGACGACGACGACGAAGAAGAAGAAGAAGAAGAAGAAGAAGAAGAAGAAGAAGAAGAAGAAGAAGAAAGAAGAGGAGGAGGAGGAAGAAATTGGTGATGCTGAATTTTTGCCATTGAAGAAGAAGAAAGAAAAACAGGAGGAGGAGGAAGAAGAGGATGCTGAGGTTTTGGAGACAACGACGACGAAGAAGAAAAAGAAGGAGGAACAAGAGGATACTTAATAATTGTTGGCACTGAAGGAGAAGAGGGCGAAGACGAAAGAGGAGGGGGATGGAAAAGAGGATGCTGAGTTTTTGACGAAGAAGCAAAAGAAGAAAGAGGATTTGACGGCGGCGGCAACGACGACGAAGAAGAAGAAGGTTTGAGATTTTGTCAAAAATGTGTACTTAAAAGTTTCGGCTCTGAACAATCAGAAGCAAAAGAATCCCCCGAAGATTAGGTCGTAATTTGAAAAGAAATAAAAGATCTCTCCGTAAGAGATAAGGCTTCGTGGAAACTGATAGCAACAAGATCAAGAGGAAAATCAAAAAAAAAAAGTCAAATAAATATAAATAAACATCTAAAACAAACCTGATTTTAAAAGATCAATTAATAAACTACAACCAAACAACGTACTAAACAAATAAACAAACAAACAAGCAAAAACAAACCCCAGCCGAGACGGAGCAAAGCGTAAATATGGTGGAATACCTTATACTAATTCCTAAACATTTTGACAACGCTCTCTACGAGGCACGCTGTGGGTAAGATGAAACTACATTTGAGAGAATAAAGGCGTTCGTACAAGAATTTGGATACAGTCATAATAGCCGGGTACACGCTACTGAGAACACAACAGCTGTAGTTAGCTAATCCTGTTGTAGACGCATGCACAGACACATTTTATCTATCGTGCTCAACAGTTTGAACAAGGCCAGCATAACCAAACACTATATGCAAACATTTTCCAACGATAAACAGATCCCACAATCAATTAACCATCACGTTATACTGCTGCTATATATGGTCTAGTGCCCCGCTGTTCATCTCGAGGTCCTCAACAAAATCCAGAGACAGATATGCAATGCGATAGGTCCTGATCTGGCATCTCGTCTACAGTCACTTTCTCACAGACGTAATGTGGCTTCCCTCTACAAATATCTTCGTGGCAACAGTTCTGACGCGCTACTTTCACTCGTACCCCAACTGCATGAATTTAAGCGTGCTACTAGGTTGGCATTTCGGTCCCACCCTTTCACTGTCGAAACAGTTAAATGTAACCGCCACTTCTGCTCCAACAGCTTCTTCTCTCGCACTTCCTGACAATGGAACTCCATTCCACTTACTTGCTTCCCTGATAACTATAATCTTCAAATATTCAAATGTGATGTCAATCGACATTTTCTGACGCCTTGATCCTGATCCCCGTCCTTCTCTATATCCTTTACTTAAACACCTCTCTTTATTCTTGCTCTCACTTTCTGTAAAACCTTACGTTCTAATGAAATTCCCAACTTGCTTGTGGGTGAAATGCTTAAAAAAAGTAAAAAAAAAAAAAAGAGGCTGTCTCTACTCCCAACGAAACCATTTTTAACGAAGCCAAAAAAGACAATGAAAACAGTCCTAAAAGATTTCGGCATTTCTGAGTTTCCGTAACATTTACATACACACCACACATTAGAAAAAAAGCCAATGCGAAAAGAAACATCATATGATTCAACACACAATAAAACAAAAATCGTAAAACAGACGTAGTAACAATATTCATTAAACACTTCCCGTCATCAAGCACTCTCCAAAACATATTCAACAGAAACACAGTAAAAATCAGCTACAGTTGCACCGAGAACGTGCTACAAATAATAAAAAAGCACAACTGAAAATAACCAACAAAACATCCATACCATCCAAACCCACTTGTAACTGCAGAGCAAAGTTCGAATGTCCCTTAAATGGCAATTGCTTACAAAGCAATATAATATACCAATCCAGTGTAAAATCAGCAGATAACGAAGAAAAAAATATACATTATTCGGATTATTGTCCTCATCTTTGTCGCCAAATTTATTACAACGTTTCGGCAGTTGTACGCTCCGGCCTTCTTCAGGTGGTTGGAATGTCAAATTGAACCCTTTACACATGGCACAGTGGATAAAGTCGTTAGTTAGATCCAGTGACAAGACCCAAAGTGTGTGAGTTCCTTACCCGGTTAAGGCAGTGGAGAACTTTCAGAGGGAAATTAACAGGAGATAACTGATAACTGACATCCATTAACATTGGCACGTGGAACTAGAACAGTCTACCCCAGTGAACGAAATAAAGTGTCCAGTTCGATATTTCAACCACTTGAAGAAGGCCGAAGCGTACAACGGCCGAAACGTTGTAATAAATATGGCAACAAAGATGGTGACAATAGTCGGAATAATGTAAATAATGTACATAATACCTCATCTCAGAAATATAGACAGGTACTGAAAAAATATACGTAGGAATAAGTGCAAAGAGAAATTTTGCACACATTCATTACACAATGCTTTCTAAAGACATATGGGAAATTAAAAACGAAAAACAAATTACACAAAAATAACATGAAAATTAAGGAAAACAGCCCCAGCCTACAACGATAAGACACAAAACTGTAAACGTTGTGTGGAACAGAAAATATCAACCAGGGAGTATGCATTCCTTAAAAGGGTAAATAGAACCTGGCTGATCTGTAATCTTTTCTGTAGGTAAGCTGTCTAAGCCTTATCAAACAGTGTTTTTTCCCTACAAATGAGGACACACATTGCAACCTTGTTCGACAGCACATTTTCTTTATTAAATTATTTTCGAGTGCGCAGGAATATAGACATAATGGACACTGTTTAAAATAAATGTTTTAAAAAGAAAACTGGCGCGTATTTTAAATATGGTTATCCTCTAAAAATAACGTTTGGAATAATAATCTTATCGATTTAAAAATAAAATCCATCCATTCTTTATAAAATGCTTTTGCGTTACGGATACGCCAATGATAGATATGGGATCTGGAGATCTTAAAAGTGTAAATAAAAAAAATCCTTTCGGGCCGCGAAAATCTCTGTGACCGAGCGGTCTAAAGTATGCCGGATTAAATGGTGGCTTCTCCTACAAAGAGGGCCGCACAACAGACTTCCTACATAGTATTAAATAAAATACATACCGTAATTCCCCATATATAATACGCATTCATTCATAATACACAACTCTAAAATTGTACTGAATGTGTGGGAAAAATGCTTATAATCGCGTATAATACGCACCCCTTGTTTTGGTAATCAAACCCTATAAATCTACGTCTACAATATCATTACGGCCAGCGTTTACTAATCTTATGAAAAAAAAATAGTTTTAAACAGAACAATATTATTCTAATTTTTTTTTATGATAATTCTTATTTTATTTTACATTTCTAAGTATTATGAGGTACATATGATTGTATATGACATCCTTATGGGGTCACAATCGCCGAATGTTTGTGTCAAATTGTCGTATGCTTGTGGTGAGTAGTCATTTCGTAACTGAAATCTAACTATGAAACGGCAATTTTTAAGTTTTTTTTTGTAGCTGTGCATAATACGCACGCCTAATTTTGCTTTTTTTTTTAGAAAAAATGCGTATAATATATGGGAATTATTATACGTGGCGTCTATTCAAACATGGCTATCCACCAAAAATTTCGGATTAAAAATAAATTCATTAATTCTTTAGAAAATGATTTGTTCCCGTTTCGGGTACGGGTAATCATGTTTGTCGAAAAAAAAATCTGAACGAATAAAGTGAGCTTTACATCGTAAATAAAACCTTGCTTAATTATGGAACCCTTCGAAACCGAGTGGTCAAAGCACGTCGGATCAAATGTCAAAAGTCCGACGTACTTCCTAAAAGTCAAAAGAGCTCAACGTTTTTTGTTTTTTTTTATAAGAACATCATGGTCGGACCAAGAACTTTACTTTGTCCCCTCATATATTTGTAGTTCCAAAATGATTTGAAATTGAGAATCGTCTTAGCGAGCTATCGCGATAGACGAAGGGAGATTAGTTAAGTCGTCGGCCGGATCGCTCGGGTACACAGAGCTATTTATCTAAATAAACAAACTAATCTGTAGGATATGTCAACTTCACCAGATTTCATTCTACCGTATTCTTGATCCTCGACTGCGACCTTCCGAAATTTTTTTTGTAACCGAAGATGCTCCCTTCCCCTAGTAACCCGACGAGGTCATTTACAAGACAAGCAAAACCATGTAAAATAGCGGTGAGGGGTGCCGTAACGTTTATCGACACGGAAATGGATTCAGCGAGTCGATTTCGAATTTCATCCCAGTCCAATAATTACTAACTATCGGTTGTAAGATGAAAGAATTCATGTCTTAAAGAAGTGAAACAGGCAAAGATGCGAGCGACAAATTGGAAAGACACAAATCAAGCTCGTCCTGAAATTTAACTGAGAAATGTCCTGGGTATGCCGATAAACTAAATACACGTCCTGGGTAAGACGATAAACTATGTCCAACAGCAAGGTCTATGATTATACGTTTTTGAAAAAATAATTTTGCCAGCTGTACGTTTTTGAAAGAAAAGTGTTGCCGGCTATACGTTTTGAAAAAATATTACCAGCTATACGTATCTGAAAATATAATATTACCAGCTATACGTTTTTGACAATATAACATTACCAGCTATACGTTTTTGAAAGAAAAGTGTTGCCGGCTATACGTTTTGAAAAAATATTACCAGCTATACGTATCTGAAAATATAATATTACCAGCTATACGTTTTTGACAATATAACATTACCAGCTATACGTTTTGAAAGAAAAGTGTTTGTTTTGAAAAATATTACCAGCTATACGTATTGAAAAAAATATTACCTATAGCAATATATTACGTATCGTTTTGAAAAAAAATATAATATTACTATACGTATCTATACGTTTTTTGAAAGTTTAGTGTTGCCGGCTATATATTTTTGAAAGAATAGTGTTCCCGGCTATACGTTTTGAAAAATAATATTACCAGCTATAAACTTTTAAGGAAAAAAAATATTAAAAGAAAATAGATTTTTCACAAAACAAGAATATTACCAGGAAAAAAAATACGGCATAAAACGTCACAGCATAATCCAAAAGTACATTAGGACAGCGAATGATGCCCCGAAAAGCTAAGCAAAGTATTAAGAAACAGGATTATATATATATATATATATATATATATATATATATATATATATATATATATAATACATATATATTTACTTTTTTTTTGTGTGTGTGTGTGTGTGTTTATGTAACAATTGTGGAGCAGTGTGCAAATAACGATGACCCACCCCGTGCCGTGCAAACTTGGACCCGTTTACGCGTACTGATTTCGCTATCGATGTGGATTCGTATATATTCTGCGCCACATATATCGTTAAGGATACTTCATTCCTTTTTTAGAAATTCATTTTAAATTTTAAAAATTATATTTAAAAAAATAGTTAGGGAACAATTCTTTTAATAATTCATTCGTCATCAAAATAATTTTTTATTCACACTACTTCCTTCATTTATATGATTTATGATAGCAATTAAAAGTTTATACAATTAAATAATTATTTTTAATGCAGATTTTATGTCACGATTCGGAATACGTCTTGTGGAATTTGGTAAAAAATAAATTAAAAAATATATCTGATTATAAATTGTTGTTATTAGGAGGAGAAATAAACAGACTCTGAAATTCCAGATTGAATTTTCGGACTGCCTAGCACTACTCAGACCTTCTCAGACTGAGTTTAAGTCTATGACGACACCCATTGGAC